GTTTCAATAATTTTTTGTACAAAAATACTAGATATATGGACCATCATTATGCACTTTACAGATTTGATCTAGCTCATTTCGTTTAGGAGTAATAAGAAAAACAGAGTGGCGGAGTTTTGTTGAATGATTAGATAATATTTTAAAACATAAGCTAGTACAGAAAATAAATAATTAATTAATTTTATAATCTTGTGTATTATTTTTTTATTTAAAGAATTGTCGTTAATAATGACTCATTATATAAATATTACATTTTAATTACTAGTGATCACTGTATTTGGCATATGTTGGCTGCCATACCACTCATACTTCTTGAGCACCTATATCTGGCCCGATATCATTAAAACCAAACAAATCAAACACATCTATCTATTTATATACTGGTTAGCGATGGCTAACTCGCTCTTCAACCCAATTATATTGTTTGTTATGAACAAAAGGTTTGTCACATAATTAATAAAATCAATTAAATATTATAATTTTGATATAAACTGTTGTCATTCATTTGTCTGTATATAAAGTGTCTGTATATATGTTTGTATGTTCCGAAGTACTAGCCAAAGTTCCTAGTACAGTACTTTCGTTAATAGCCACCCAAAGATTACTACCTCACAAAACCTGGCAAAGTTATCCAATAGGAAAAATTTCTCATTTCTAAATGTTACAACATATTTTAATTTTTTGTGATAGGAATAATAAAATATACCAAATTGTTTATTTGTTTATATATTTGTTTGTCTACACAAAATACTTTGCGACATATAATTGTCCAATATTTATTAATATAGGCTATACGGTATAGCAAATTCTAAAATGTTTTCAAATTGTTAGCTATAAAGGAGTATTCGAGGGTTTGCTATGGAAGAGTTGCATAGTATTATAGACGAGTAAAGCACTTTATAACTAGTGCACATTAATATCTTAATATATATCTTAAGATATTAATATCATAGTGTATATTATATGAGGGACGTTGTGTTTGTAAAATTAATAATGAATAGTGCATTGCATTGCAGAACACTATAAAATACAACGATCACAAACACAACGTCTCTCATATAACACCAAAAGTGTAAACCAAATACTCGCTTTTCAAATTCCCGGATAGCATTCGCTGTATTAATTAAATCGTTTTCATTAGTACAGCGAATGCTATACGGGAATTTGAAAAGCGAGTATTTGAAAAACACTATAACCGTAATATACAATATGATATTAATATTAATGTGCACTAGTTATAAAGCGCTTTACTCGTCTATAATGATAAATCATTATACAGAAAATCCGACGTTTTTCACCTCATAAGCAAAATATAATATTTTAAATGTTAATATAATGATTGAATACCAATCCATAGGTTTCGCAATTATACGCCGAATTATATGCGTTGCCGTTTAACCGGACGAACCATTCATTTGGATTCAATTATTTCTCCGAAGAAGTCAACGACTAATCAAAGAAAAACAAATTATAATATAACTCATTATAAGACAACTGACGACTTATAAATATAAAATAATTATGTTTCAGTCTAAGCAATCTAATAGAAATCAAGCAAACTATTTCTGCTGCAACTAATTTTTGTTAAGAAAGTTCAGTTAAAATTGGAATATTTTATGATCAGAATAACTGACAATTTTTTGTAAATCAACAATTACACACATGATTTAAATGTTAAATTCAGATTGATAAAGTAAACACGTTGACATGTATTTAAGAATGGCATTTAAAAGCCAGCAATAATCTGCAAAAAGCTTTAAAATATTCAGACAATCAAAAGAATTTTGTTTATTAATTAAAATGAAATATATTTTCGACAGATATATTATGGTTAGTGTTCACAGAAGCTCCCGGAATGTCAGGAGTCTCCAGGAATAGAGGTCGGGCTCCTGTCTCCCGGTGAGGGTCTCACCATTGATATGGAAGTTAAGGAATTTAAAATTCAATCTAAGTTAAACCGCATATTTTATGTAAAAATTCAGATTTATGTAAAATATCAATAAAGATAATTTTAGTTTTATTAAAATTTGTATTAGACTAGCAAATTGTTAATATGTTTTGTTTACTTATAAATATTTACTTTGTAATCTGGCTGAAAAATATAAATAAGAGTTCTGAAAGGCAACTTGTAATACGATATAAATAACAATTTATATACAGTTTTAATAGTTAAAATAATTAAACCTGCTTAAACACGTATCAAGGAAAAACTCAAGGAATTTTCACTAAAATCTCAAAGATGATATTACTTAAAAGTACATTTCTCAAGGAAAACTAAAACATGTAAAACTGTAACAAAATTGTAAATATTAACCAAAAATTTGAAAATCAATTTAACTAAATATGAAATACAATTCATTAAAATCCCTTATCGAAAAGTTACATCGTGTATAGTATTGGTATTAGTTAGCTAACTTTACAAGTATTAGTCAATACAATATTAAATATGTACATTGTAAATATATTCATTGTATAACACGTTTACCATGTTGACAGGTTTAAAATGTTATCAATAATTTCATTATTAAAA